TCGGAAGGCTTTGCATGTCCGCGCAAGACCAGCAAGAGTTTGCGCCGAGTCGCGATTGAGGTGATTGAGCGACTGCTCTGCCCCATTGAGGGTCTCGTAGAAAATCAGAGATACAATTTCAGGTATGCAGAGGCTGCAGTGCATCAAAGAGGGACGTTAGGAGCAGAAAGAAGTATTCCACAATATTTGTCTTGTACAACGTGATGGGCACCGCATCACTTTTCTTCTCCGGTTGGTTAATTCCAGATAAGTACCGCCCCTGGAGTTAAGACCGTTAAGTAAGGAGAACGCCAGCGATGAACAACGACTAATGTAACATATGCTGAAATTTTAGTATTAATAATGCAACTTTTATTTTATTGTTTCTCGCCGCCGGAGCGAAGCGAAGGCATATCTTGTACTGATCCTCCAATTTCTCACTTGCGACTTGCTTGCGACCTTGTCTGGGCTTTTGAATCTGTCGCTTAGCGCCAAGCCGGAACAAGATGCAATCAAAATGTCAAAACCTTGATGTCTTCTGCCCAATCCCGTCTCTTCGCATCTTGTTAGTATCCCTCCCAAAGACTCAGTCAGAAATGAACGGTCGGGACCTCCTCACAGAGTTTCGAAAGCTCCCCCCAGTCACCCGCACTCTCCTAGCCTCCACTGTCACCGTAACCCTCTCGTGCATCGCCCAGATTACCTCGCCATCGAGGGCTGTATACACGTACGACTTAGCGTTTCAGAAACTCCAGGTTAGCTTACGGTCCTCTGCTTTTCATGTCCGTCGCTGAATTGGCGTCCATTCGCTGTTGTCCAGATATGGCGGCTGTACACAAGCTTTTTCCTCGCGAGTCAGTGAGAACAGTTTTTGACAGGAAGGCGAACTGACTGGCATAGATGGTGGGATTACTTTCATTTTTCGTGGATCGGTATTTGTTCAATTTTTCTCTGATATGTGTGAATAGAACTTGTTATGCTCTAGTGCGTCGATGAGGAGGGTACACTGTGTTCGCGTCGACTGACTTGCGTGCTAGTCGCATGATGGACCAACTCGAATCGGGTCCACACGGTCCCTACGCTCGCAAACCAGCCGACCTCGCCTAGCAGCTCTTCATAGCCAACATACTTATTCTTGTAAGGCTTTATTCAACTATATAGTAAAATTTGTTGACGTGGCCGACTTGCATTATGGATCTTAAGTATCCCTGTGGGGGCGATGCTCTTTCTTCCACCCTTTCCTCCTCTGCCTCGCCTACATGAGCTCCGCGCCCCGGGCGCGCAGACCTCCTTATTCGGCCTCGTGACGCTCCCAGTCGCCTACCTCCCGTATATCATGGTCCGTCGTCCCGCCGGGAGGCAATATTCTGTATCCACTCAACTCATGAATGGTGTTCAGACAAGCTGAAAGTCCTCAGATTTGACCGGAGTCGGAAACCGATCTTAATACATAGTGTACTCTCCGAGTACTAGTAAAGCGTTCAGATCTTAAATCCATACAGAGTCTTTCCACAGTGGCGCAATCCGCATACGACAGCCTTTGCAGACAAGGTGGCCCTGTGATCCATCCTACGCCAATAATTGTCTGATTTGAGCCCTCTTGTCGACGGTCGGTGGTCCGTGTAAGCGTGTAAGCCACCGCATCGGCGGCATCGCGTATGACCTGCAAAAGAAAAATCTTCAAAGCACCGCGCGTCTCCTGATACATGAGCTCTGATGTGCGCTTGACGCCCCCATGATGAAGGAGGCGCCGGATGTCTGGTTTCGTGATACCTGCGAGCGAAGATGCCAGAAAAACCTGGAGACATTACGAGAACGTCAACGTCCGTACCAGTGATCACAGGTGGGCGGATCCGGCTGAGGCTGGTTACTTCCCCAATCATTTTCTCACCGCATCCATTTTTTTTTTGGATGTAGTGTGTCCACAAGGACTCTTTTCTTACTCTTTCTGGCTCTGTCCCAGTGAGTTAGGACGGTGAGCGAGCGAGTGAAACTCGATATCGCCGCAGCCCACCTTCTCCTCTGCCTTCCGCCGAAATGAGCAAGCGCCAGCTGAGATACCCCACAGGATCCAAAGGCGCAGAAAAAACGGTGCCTCCCACTGCTGTGAGACCTACGCTACCATGAGAAGAAGAAAAAACGAAACAAAAAACTCCTTACGGTTGAACCGTTGATCCATATGTCCTCGGGTGGATTCGAACCACCATTTCTCCCCTGCACTCATCACGAAAGTTTTAATTTTGTGGGATTGAGCTCCTTTGTTCCACGAGGACTTGCTCTTACTTCCAGGTGAGCCTAGATCCTAGGCCTCTACATCCAGGTCAAGAATTTTAGACACGCTCCATCCCATGGATATCCTTGTATGCCCTATCCGCCCTCTCTTGCATCCCCTCCTCATCCTTGACAAACAACCACCACCCCGCCACCGGGCGTACGGTATCATACGCCCCCCACTTGGACAGCTTGCGGTCGCCGCTGGACGACACGCGCATCCCGACGTTCCCGGCGACCATCGCGCACTCGAACTTCTCGTTATTGTCGTCGAGCAGCAGGTCCACCTCCGCATATCCTGGCGGTATGGCCTCGCGGTCGAGCTGGTGGTATGCCGTGTCGTCGAGGACGAGGTCGAGAGGGTGCTCCCACGTGTCGCGGAAGGGTTTATATGCGCGCCCATAAGCCGCCCAGAACTGCACCGCGGTGAGTGTCTCCGGGGCCTCCCCTAGGGCGTCGATCTGATCAGGAGCAGTAGCATCCACTATCGAGGCGGTGGTGTTCAACGGCGGCCCCATCCACCTCCCCTCCTTGTCGAATACGGCGAACGCGGTGATCCACCCGGTATAGTAATCCCCGCGCCCGCTGCCTCCGGGTTGATAATGTGCGACACGCTGCCAGAAATCGATGTTCGTCACGCTCGTGGGGTCGTCGAACGCCGCGACGAAGCGGGTGAGCACGGGCCGCAGGAGGTGGTACCATGCTGTCGTCTCCAGTCCGTACTCCTTCAGCTTTTCGAGCCGGTTGAGGATATCCACCCAGTCCGATCGCTCCCCCTCGAGCGTGACGCGCGGAATCCCGCACCCGGCGAGCATGATCATGTACTGGAAGTACTTCTTCAGCGTCGCCATGAGGAGCACCATGCTCACGGTGCGGTCGTTGTCGGTCGTGGTGGTGAAATCAGGCGTGGCCCACGCGCGCAGTTCCGGATCGACGACGTTCTCCTCGACGAGCCCTGCCATTGCACGCGCGATAAAGCCGAAATCCACCGTGTATCGATTCACGCCTTGGCCGACAACCTTGACGGTCAGCCGCTTCTGTCCCTCGTGCGCGACGAAGTTCGCGCGCAGGAGCTCCGCGTGCGCGTTGACGAAGAAGTTGAACTGGGACAGGATGGCGAGCCACACGTCGTCGGGTCGGATGATGACGGCGCGGTCCTGCGTGTATGCGTCCAGCAGCGTCGAAACGAAGCCGTTTGGGCTCGGCACGATATCACGGATCGTCGTATCCATGGACAAATTATATGGAACCTCTAAGCCAAGCGCGACATCGCACCAAGAGGTGGTTGAGTTGACCAGAAAGCACGTTTTGTCCGTATCGGTGCCTGTGCGGCTTCCCAGCGCCGGCCCGAGGGAATATTGCAGGATCTCGCCCGCCTTGGCGTGCTGGTCTGTGCACGCGGTGGCGAAAAACCCATCTGCGGTGTGCCAGCCCGCCTGGGGTAGTGGGAACGGTTTAGCGGAGTGGGATGCGACGGCGAAGGAGACCGGCATGGATAGTGGAGGGCGCTGAGCGCTGTTGTCGAGTCAGCCGAACCTTTTATGTATGCACGCCAAGGAGTCAATTGGCCGCGTGGCGACACGTATCTCCTGTTCGCACATCAATAATGATCAAAAGGTATATGTGGATTTCGAACGGGGAATGAGCGTGAAACGGGCTTGGATATTGGGCCTTGTACTTGGCAAAGCGGCATTCGCGGACCAGTAGGGTTGAGACCCCGTCTTGTTTTCGTACCTTCGCTCGACAACGGCAAGTCAAAGGTCAAGTAATGGGAGGCTGCGGAAACAACACTGGGGTCCCCAGATTGAGATTTTCCGCCAAGGAACTTAAGAGATCCCTGGTGCTGGCCACGCAGAAGAGGACGAGGCATTCGGGGTCCCAAAGTTACCGATGTCGAAGCCGAGTTGTGGAAAATTTTGACCGCAGATCAGAGTCTTGTATTCGGCGCCAGAGAGTCGGAGCTGCGTTGGTCTTCTTCGTGAGTAAGAGTCCGCCATTGCACCAACACCAGTTCATCAATTCGTCGGTGTCGGTACGCGGTTCATTGAATTCGGGCTAGATGTACTGTACGGCCGGTGCGGGGCGCGAAACTGCGACGCGTCGTTGGAGGATCAGGAGTCTGGAATGGCGAGGAGGTGAGCAGAACTAGTTAGACGTAAATCACAGTGAGCGTTGGCAGATGCACTGGAGATGCACTCGAAGCAGGAGACAAAGGGGATGGCCAGTCCCAGATGGGTCCCAGAATGGTGTGTTAGAGCCACAAATCCAACCAAGAAAAGAGAAGATACAAGCGCAGGAGGCCTGTAACCCAAGTCGCCAGGAGGTCGTGGTGAGTAAGCAAAGGAAAATCACCACTTGATCCGGCTGACGCAAGAAATGTTATGATCACCATCTCTCCCGTACACAGAATGAAAAAGTTGGAAATTTTGTGGGAGCGAGCTGCATTTGTCCACGGGGACTCTTTCTTGCTTCAAAGTTAACCCGCAGTTGTGCAGCATCGGTACCGGCGAGGTCGAGGAATTAGTCCAGCAACTGAGGTAGAATTGCAATCCAGATTCCAAGAGCGGCACATGCACGCGCAGCCTAAGTGTGTGTTGTTGGTGTGTTGTCCGAGTCATCTCTTGTACAGCTGCGCAAGAGAAAAAGAAAGCATTGGACGGCTAACTGGTCGAGAGACCTCCGCTACCATTGACATTCAAAAAAAGAAACCAAAAAGCTACCAGTAGAAACAAATAGAGAAACAGCGCTCATGTCCCCGGGTGGATTCGAACCACCAGCTCTCCCGGTATACACCATTCCTACGACTGCTTCGTATGTTGCGGGAGTGAGCTGCATTGCTCCACGAGGACTTGTTCCTTCTGTCTCTTTCTTTTACTCGTATGTAGGCTGCTTATACGTAGAGCGTGAGGGCCAAGCTCGACATTGCCGTAGCCCATCTCTGAGCCGACATATCGCACGGTCTAAAAGCAACGCAAAGCGAATCGGCGCCTCGGACTGCTGTGAGTCGCGACCTATAGTTATGGCATGCTACCATGAATAAATAAAAACAAGAAAGAAAGAAAGAAAGAAAAAAGCGCAAACCGTCCATGTCCCCGGGTGGACTCGAACCACCACCTCTCCCTGCGTAGGCACATTTCGTGGGAGCGGCTGCATCGCTCCACGGGGACTCTTCCTTTCTTGCATTCAAAGGTGACCGTAGTCGTACAGCGCTCGCACCGGTGAGGTCGAGGAGTCTGAATTAGACCAGGTAGAAATCAAATGCGATCAACAAGCGGCACACGCAAGCGAAGCATGTCAATGTGTCAACTGCGCAAGAGAGAGAGAAAAAAAACATTGGACAGCTGGAGCGCTGTGAGCCCTACGGTACGCTACCACGAGAAGAAAGAAAGAAATCGATAAGTTACTGGCATGGGCAATAAAATAAAAAGCCATTTCGGCACTTTATGCTTAGCCATCATGTCCCCGGGTGGATTCGAACCACCAGCTCCCCCGGTATGTATATCATGATTCATCTCACAACGCCATATTTTGGGAGTAAGCTACATTGCTCCACGGGGACTTGTTCCTTCTTGTATGTAGGCTGCTTATACGTAGAGCTTGAGACCCAAGCTCGACATTGCCGTAGCCCATCCCTGAGCCGACATATCACACAGTCTGAAAACAACGCAAACCAAATCGGCGCCTCGGACTGCTGTGAGTTGAGACCTATAGTGATGGAATGCTACCACGAACAAATAAAAACACGAGAGCAAGGAAGAAAAAACAACGCCCTCTCTCTATGTCCCCGGGTGGACTCGAACCACCGCCTCTCCCTGCGTAGACACAAATCGTGAAGCTCATTTCGTGGGAGCGAGCTGCATTGATCCACAGGGACTCTTCCTTTATCTGAACGAGTCTGAATTAGACCAGTAACTGAGGCCTGAGGTAGAATTTGCGATCCAAGAGTGGCACACGCACGCGCAACCTAAGCCTGTGTCGTCCGAGTCTGACTCATCTCTCGTACAGCTGCGCACGAGAAAAAGAAAACATCGACGGCTGGCCGGTCGAGGGACCTCCGCCACCATTGCCACGAGAGAAAAGAATTCGAAACCAAAAAGGTACCCTGAGAAATAGGCAAAAACCACGCAACAACTCATGTCCTCGGGCGGGTTCGAACCGCCATTCCTCCCCTGCATCGATAACAACCTACTCTATTTTGTGGGAGTGAGCTGCATTGCTCCACGAGGACTTGTTCCTTCAAGTTCTGTCCCTTTCTTTTACTCGTAAGTACGCTACTTGTATGTAGAGCTCGAGGACCACGCTCGATATCGCAGCACCCAGCACCCAGCCGTCCGGATCCACCGCTGTGCTCCAAGTCTAAGTCTGGCGCGCAGCTGAAATACCCGGAAGAACTGGGCCGGTGCGCTCAGATATCGATATCGATAAAGCGCCGCGAGATCCATGCTCGGTCCCACGACAAAAAGAACACTCCGTCATTCAATGTCCCCGGGCGGGCTCGAACCGCCGTCTCTCCTTGCCTACATTGACGTGGGCTATTTTGTATTTTGCAGGAGCGAGCTGCATTGCTCCACGCGGACTTGTCAGAGGTATGCTGATCTGAGCTGGGTATTGTCGCATGTGCGGGCAGACAAGAAAGCATTGCCAGGGTCGGTTTGGCGCGGACACGCAGCCGCCCGAATGCGATTGATCGATAGTTTCACCATCCGCATAGAAGGCGGGTAGGCAGCGCTCGCACGAGTGCCTGCGCCTCGGTGTTACCAATTAGATGTAGACGACTGCTGGACTCCGCGGCACGCATACACCACGGCGCAGAAGGCGCAATCCTAGCGCGGGTCAGCGGCGTCTCAGCATCTCACAACGGGCGCGCCGGACTCGACCCAACTAAACCTAAACTGACGCGCGCGCGGCGCTAAGCCCAAGTCGCCCTTGCGCACGGACGGCGTCGCCGGTGCGGGGAGAGGAGCGGCTCGCGCGCGAGCATCCGCGAGCGGGGACGATAGGACGAGCGGGCGCGCTGGGGAGGGAGGACGCCGAGCGGCGACAGAGCAACGACGCCGAGGCGCGTCAGAACAGACGGCGGGCAAGGCGGGCACCGGCCACATTGAGCTAGCTCAGATGGGGCTCGTTGACGACGGTCGAGCATGTAGGCACAGGCCGGCAGAGCGTTGAGCGGACGGCGGAGCAGGCGGCGGAGCGGGGGCGGCGATAGACGGGGATCGGATGGGGCCGCACAGTAGAACGGCGCAAGTCAATTCATAGTAACAACACACGGTATCGCATTCTTCTACAGCTTCCGCTCTCCCACTGGCGCCGCCGACATCGAGCGCTGGATCTAGTGCGCGTTGTTCTTGTGGTGTTCTGGATAAGACGAAACGAGGTCAGAGAAGGGCGGGGAAGAAGGGAAGGGAGCGCACTGAGGTGGACTGTCGGCGGCCATGCGGGTACCAGTACGAGGAGGATAGAGGATGGGATAGGTCAGCGCGGTCTCCAGCTTAAAAAACGAGCAAGACGCACGCTGATAATCGAGCGTATACCCAATCAAGAAGATGCCGCCGATGAGCGCGAGCACGGGTGCGCCACTCGCGTTCTTGCCGCTGAAGAAGCGGCCTTTGAGGCCGCCGAAGCGCGCGGGGGCGGGGCCCTTGGGGAGCTTCGAGTAGAAGTCCACTAGCGGGGTGAGGGTGGCACCCGAGTTGCCGGTCTGCGGGGTGGGCGGTCAGTATCATAACAGAGAGAGAGGAGGGAAGGTGGGTGGAGGGAATGCGGAAGGACACGGAAGAAGGGGCGGAAAGACACGGGAAGGACGGGTCACGCACGACGAGACGCGGGGTAGCGATTTTGGGAGGGACAAGCCCGCCGAGCTGGCGGCGGAGGGGCGAGGCGTGCATCGATGCAAAGTGAAGAGTGGGGAGCGAGCTGGCGCGGTATGCCAGTGTTTGCCTCAGAGCGTCCCATCACCTGCTTTGGGCGTTGATCCGATTTCGGCCGATAGCCTTCCCGCGAACGGACAACCTTGAAGAGCGCACTTCTGTTTCTTCACTTGATTCTCAGTATTGCTTTAGATAAGAACAAGTCCTTGTGGAGTAATGAAGCTCACTCCCACACAATAACAATTGAGAGTCTGCCATGGGAGAGCCGGTGGTTCGAATCCACCCGAGGACATACAGGATTTCCGTCGTTTTCTCCTTTTTCTTTGGTAAAGGAAACCTTTTAGTGCTGATGGTGTGTTCATATAGAAATTATTCGCATTTCTGCTGGTGACAAACTTGTCTGAAAATCAGAACATGCACAACCCATTGTTACCTTGTATAAATCAGGTCCTTGTGGAGCAGTGCAGCTCACTCCCACAACATTCCCGTGTTGCGAGCAAATGTGGGAGCGCCGGTGGCTCGAATCCACCCGGGGGCATGTAAGAGAGTGGTGACTCTTTTTCCCCTCCTTCTGTGTTCCCAGCAGCACATGATTCCTTCTATTTTGTCGAGTCATCCCCCTGGCTTGAACGCTGAAGGTGACCTGGAGAAGCAGACGTCAATCAGTCTAACATTAGAGCGAGCACGCATCTTTTTCTCCCCGGATTCTCAGTATTGCTTTCGATGAGAACAAGTCTTCGTGGAGCAATGAAGCTCACTCTCACAAAATCAAATTCGTCCTCTAGCATTACATGGGAGAGCTGGTGGTTCGAACCCACCCGAGGACGTGAAGGTTCTCGATTCTTTTCTTTTCTTTTATCTTCCTTGGGGTCTTCCCTCTGTCCGCCCCATATGGTCACACTGCAGGAATTTTGTACACCAATTTCTCGACATTTCTGCTGCTGCGAGCGGCAATCATTAAACTTGCCTGCAAATTGGAACACGTACGGCCTGTTGTTCCCATCTATAAATCAGGTCCTTGTGGAGCAATGCAGCTCGCTCCCACAACATCCAAGTCCTGTAGGCAACGTATATGGGAGCGACGGTGGTTCGAACCCACCCGAGGACATGCATTAGTCTGGGCCATCTTTTTTCAACCCTCTGCGCTCAAAGCCGCCGGACATCTTTCAGTGCTAGGCATGCATCATGTGTGTGAGGTCCGCCAGTCGGCGCAACGCAGGACTTCATGGGGGCTTATACCTGGATGCACCTCTCTTCTATTTTTTCCGTGCGACAGTGTCCTTCTACCGCTTCGTTCTCCTCAAGCATCCTTTGCATTATTATCCCGTATTCCATTCCTGTTCTCGATTCGCGCGGCTTGGGCGACTGTTGCACAAGCACGCGGATGTCATTTGTCAGTGCCTTTCGCGGGGCGCATGGATGACTGTTGGCTGTTGCGAGGGTGAGAATCTGAGATCTGCTTCAAGATCCGCTATCCCGCTAGCTCTTCTCTTATCATTTTTGGATGTGTTGTGGCTACAAAATGGATCAACTCCATGTCGCAGTCTGAAATTCCCACTCCTGCTGCAAACGGCTGCGGGAAGGACGGATGATGATCCGGGTTCCATCGGATGCTGCAACAGGCGCCTGCCGTTCCTTCTTCCCATTGCCTCCGCTCATCGAGATCAACGCCGTTGAAGCTCCGACGCCATGTATGACGGTTCGTTTGTACAAATAATAAAATCACGCGTGCGCATGTGATTTAGCGCGCGCGCGACCCAAATGCGCGCGCACGCGAGCCATTATATTGAGTATAGCTAAGTACACGAGTAACAAACTATGTACGATGTATATAGCATGTACTGTCCAGCCATCGGCAGTCTGAGAGGCAACTTTTCAGCAATAACTGAATTAAAACAAAAACCATGCGTACCTCCGCCTGTGCCTCCTGTAACATCTTGAATTGGTTGAGCTAGGTGACCGCTGGATGTCCGGCCCCA